TATTAGTATGTAGAATAACGTTTCTATATTAAGCGACTATAGCACTAGATGCCATTGTATTAACACCGCATGTTCCATCACCTCTGTACACTCTGTAATATCCTTGTTCGCCCCACCTGGGTCCCCAGCTATTCTTTATCGTCCAGAATGGCAATTTTTTCTTGAAAATTGGATATGCTGGAACAAAAGAACAAAATACAGATAATCTTTTATTTATCCATTTTTACTATCTCATTTAATTTTATTTTTTTATTTCTTAGGGCATCGCATAGAAAAGGAAAAACTTACTGTGGATACCGTAGCCAACGATGAGAACCCCATGGTCCAATTCCTTAGGATTGCAGAGAAACTTAAGTGGATGCGATACACCCCCCATGTAAAATTGCATGGCATTGGCATTAATGCCAACTGAAATCGGGCCGTTTTCAACCAACCACTGGGCCATTTGCGTTTCATTTGACGTTATATTCACAGCGGAGACAACCTTGGCGATGACTTCGCTGTTGTTGAAATGGCATTTCTCGTCTTCAGCTTCGTAGGGATACTCCGACTCGAGTTCAAGGCCTCCTAGTGATTCTATGGATCTGTAAGCATTATCGGGCAGACCACCTTCGCAGCCTTCATCCAGTTTATCGCAATCTACCAGTTCCTGCTCGGAGAAGGACAACAGCTTTTTGTGCCTTAATGCGAACTGCCCTTCGATATTCCCTGTTACTGAAAAAGCCCAACAGGATCCACACTGACCTTGATCTTTAACTGGAGTCACAACGTTATAATGTCTCCAGTCAAATTCGACGGGCAATTTGATATTTGAAATTTTAGCCATTGGCATCGGTATTTGATTTTCTGATCGCAGATCCGGTCGCAGGCCTAAGTATCGTGCTCGAAACTCTTCGGGAGTTAAGTCTGCAAACATTGTTACTCCGTATTGAGCACTGCCTTGCTCGTTTTGTTGAAGGTAATCTATAATTTTGAGGTTATCTTTGAATACTTCGAAGCGTTGATTTTTCTCTTCATCTGTCTTATATACCCTGTCATAACTCTTCATAAAATCTTCGAACATCGTTTCGTGCCTAAGTTCTAGAGCTATCTGTGCCATCTTTTGAGTATAATTTTGACCTCGTAAAGACCTCTTTGTTTTCGATTTCAATGGATCGCAGTCTACCTTGATGTCAGGGATTCCTTGATCGATCCAAGGACGAGACCATACAGTGACTAAGCATTCCTTTACTTCTGCGCTTTCATTCAATTGACAATTCTCTTTGGTTCCCTTTGGACAATTGCTGGTTCCCAACTTAACTTTTATTTTGTACAGAGATCCAGCCACTATTTGTCTCGTAGCCTCCAGAACTTCGACTAAGATGGGCTCGTTAGAACTCTCAGAGATTTCTGAGAACTTCACGAGACCCAAATTAGCAAATCTTTGTACCTCCGGGTCATCTTTGCTGATACCGTGAGGTGCTCCAACGGCATTTTCCCTCTTTGCTCTTGTGTTATCTTGTTTCAATTCTTTGCACTTTGATTGTAATACTTTAGCCTTCTCTAATGCTCTGTCTCCGTCACTTTCTACTAAAACCTGAATTTTGCAGACACTCATAGGTCCTACAAAATTCTTTAAGCAATCTTTTAGTTGAGTTTGGGCTTCGTCGCATTTAGTGGATGCCACCTTTAATGTCAAATGATACATAGTTCCACCTTTTCTTGTCTGCTTAACCGAATCCAAGATTTCAAGAAGAACTCGTTTATTGTTGTCTGAATCCATGTCATCCAAAATATTGATAGCTTTCTCTGCTAAATCCGTTACTAAGGTACCTTCGGACTCAGGAGTATTTTCTAAAGACCTCCTTTCTCTCTGCACAGAAATTGAATCTTGACTCGTTCTCAAAATATTAGGTTCAACTAAACCACTTACCGATGGATAACTATTTTCATTCGACGTAGATTGTACATTTTCTACATTTTGTGTAACACCGTTACTTTCCTTAACATCTGGTTTATCGTCTTTAGAATCCGAATTAACTTCCGACTTTTCAATTCTTTCAGTAATTATTTTCATATCAGGTACCACAGAAACAGTCGGATCTGGACTTCCAATTTTAATCCCTATATCAAAATCCTCCAAGAAAGCGTCAAATTCTTTCATCTTGTCTGTAAATTCTTCAACTTTCTCTGGTTTATTCTCCCCATCTACCGTAACTTTCACAAATGGTTCCTCGGTTATCGGAATTCCTGTATAGATGGGTTGTGTGTTACTGTCATTAGTGGAACTCATCAGAGTAGCGTCTAGTAGTCCGTAAGCAATAACTTTTCCTTCTTGCGCAACTTGATCATATTGTTCGGTCTGAAATTCTTCCTGATTTGTGTGCTCCTTCGGATCACCCAATGCAACCGCTCCACCAGTAGAACTTTGACTTAAATTAATATTTATCTCATTCTCAGAATCCAGAGTATCGGTACAATTGTTTCTTGTTATTCTACGGCTATTATCCTGCCATGGGCGCTCATCGAATGTAACCAGGCATAACTTTATCGGAATGTTTGGTTGTAAAGCACATTCAGAGCGTTCTATCAATATAGTTTTTAAACAATTAGATTCACCAATCTCCAATAAAAGTTCATACTGTACGACATTTGAACTAGGTGGTACGGTGCGCGTGACTCGGACAATGCTGATGAGCTTATGTTTAAAGTCGCCATGACTTAATTCATCCATTGAATGTAAAACCTGCTCTCCGAAGGCAGTTAAACCAAGCAGAGTAGGATTTAGTTCGTACGGACATCCAGGACAGTAATTTGTACTGGATGCTCTTACCGCGATGAACGGTCTATCGCTTTGATCTGCAGTCGATTGTACTTCATGGTCTAACTCTATGCTTTGATTTACAATCTGCTTATCCAAACGGTCGATGATTTCTTGATCTTGAGTATTTGCTTCGTGATTACTGTCTTGTACAGATTGTGCTTCGTCTTGAGCAAATTGTGGATATAAATACATACATTGTATAGAATGATGCAGTACTTCGATAACTTTTCCTTCGTGCTGACGAAGATCAATTGCACACGCCTCGCGTGGACAAGAGATAGAATCTTCTTTACAAATAGGGTCCAAGTTCAAAGTCAATCTGTATATTACATAAGGTGGTTGAATCTAAAAAGGGGAAAGCACGACATTAAATTAAAAATTCAACTTTATCGATATCGTTAAATATTTACATTCTATACCAATGATCTCTGGTTTATCATAGTTCGTTAAAAACAAGATAATAAATAACAGCTTAAAGTATCCAACATTTGGATCATTGGACTAATTATCAATCAACGTTTTATCACAGTCGATTACAGCGTAATATGTGTACTATGCAATAATCTCTCTGTGCTACTCAAAGTACACGAATATCGTGTACACTGAACAATCGAATACACGTACAAAAATATACTTCCACGTTAACACGGATTATCTGCTCGTTTCAAGGTGACGGCAAAAATAAAATATCCACATAAATACAAGTGATGTAATCCTACATGAATTCATCGCATTGAATAGGCATTATCGTCTCGCTAAACATAAAGATGAAGACAGAAGTGACCTAGCATTCTGGATACGGATGTAAATGGATTTTGAAACGTCAATGGACAAACATTTTACTCTGCCTTAGTAGCTATTAATATTACAATCAAACCATCAATATGTATAAATGCAACGCACAGAGTAACTGCAATGTGAATTCCTCTTCAACGACCCATTATTAAAATCTAACTTCCAAATTTGAAATTACAAAAATGATTCGTGACAAACATTGAAGTAGGAACTTTCTTCGTAATTCAGTGCCTTTACCAATATATCCGAGGAAAGTGAAAGCACAACAAAGATGATTGTCTTACCAGCCTCTGCGCACTTATTAGATTACCGCCATTATACGTATGATCGGTCGGCGAATCCTTGTTGAGGGCATTCAAAGCGCTTTGGACGAGCGAATCTGATACACTTTCGAGCGGCACGTTAACGGGGTTGGAAAGTGCCTTTGCGAAAAATAAATTACAGAACAGCGCAAAACATGAGTACGCGAGTCGTGAACCCGCCATCTTTCACTTCGCTGTCACGCATCCACGGAATGTCGCGAGTGTGATATTGTTCCCCTGTAGTACGGAAAACGGCCGCACGCGCGCTGAACACGGATGACAATTTCTCCGATTCAGCCGTTTTCGTCGGCATACATTACTCACACCAGCTGACACGGTAAAAAAATCTGCACGTCATGTTGCGACGAGTTCTTTGTAATCAATCGTGCAGATATAGAAGTTTACCCTCATCCATTGTTTCATTGATTACCAGTGTTGTCATTAAATCACTTTTTTTTACAAACCATTAAGGTGACATGAAAGGGTCATTCTATACGTATCGAAACGTGAAAATATTTATAAAACTTTTCTCCAAACTGAATAAACAATGTTGACTAAAAGTGGTGGAATTCAACGGATTATTCTCTTTCCTATATTTAAAAAGCAACGTTAACATCTAATCATTTTCTGCAACCTGATGTTGTTACTTCGTGTTTGAGTGTACTCAATAAAAGAAATATTTACAAAAAATAGTACATATTGGCAGATTTTATTATTTACGTAACATTTGTGTAAATATGTAACCGTTGTATGATGCGTATATACAGGGTGTAACAGAACTCGTAGTCAAGGTTTATACAGCGCTATCCTTGAAATTGGATCTTTGAAATTGGATCGTTGAAAAAGGAATCGAAAAGTCCTTTAATATTTTTTCCTACAGTGCATAAATTTCCTGTAATATTTTTTCCTACAGTGCATAAATTTCCTGTAATATTTTTTCCTATAGTGCATAAATTTCCTGTAATAACTAAGTAAAGCACAGCCAATAAATCGCGTTTCCGAACGGAAAGCATAACGAAGGCATATTACGTCCTGTTACGTCCTTTCCGCTATACCTGCCGTTCGGAAACGCGATTTATTGGCTGTGCTCTGGGGGGTCTATTACGTAAAGCAAATTGAGCAAAAATGTGAAAAATGAGTAGCTTATGGCAGAGATGATTTGAAATATTACTACACCAGAAGTGCTAGTGATCTTGTTCTTTCATATAGCGAATACGTAATTCGGCGAATATACCCATGTGAGATGGAAGTGCGAGAAGTGAGCGCTCTCGTTAAAAATACGTAATAAACGCGTCTAAAAATATCCACAAGAAACATTACAATTTAAATTGGCTAAAGTGTCCCATTGGATACTGTAGGCCATAAAGTGAAATAAAGTACCAACTAGAGAAAAGAAAATGGCGCGGATTACGTGCGTAGTTAGCACATGATGAGAGAAAACGTACTCAAAGAAACTAAAAGTCAATCAAAGAAAAAAGAAAACTCCAATGAAGAAACACAAAACAAGAATTATAAGAATTAAAGAAACAAAGCAAGGAAGCAGTGGTATTGGGCTCAAATCAGTGGACCGAAATTCTAGGTGATATTATTCCGAGGAGGTACCTGCAAAAATTTCTTTCCTCTCCAGAAGCATTTACTAGGAAATTAGTGACTATCATAGAACAGTTAATTATGGAATGTAATTCAGGCAATAAATCTGGCATGAATTTAAGTAAATTCACAAAAAAATTCAAGATGTGTAAATTTATAGAAGATGAATCGATTCCTGAAGGTTTTTCACTTTGCGATACCAATTTGTCTGTGCAAAAAGAGGAGACAAGACAGAATTATAATATAGAGGTTGATTCTCACGGAAGAATAAGAGATGCAAACCGATACAGAAAAGAAGATAGCAAAGCAGCGTTCTCAAGTGTGGCATCAGCACGACCACATTTTTTAAATCAGTCTCCAGACAAAAATAGAGAAATAGATCGCTTCAAATTTGTACAAAGCAATAAAGTACAGAATGATTTATCTCCACAGAAAGAAGAAATTGATGAGGAATTAAATAATGACAGTATCTCTTCGTTTCTTCAGTGGGAAAATCTTTGTAATGCACTGTATTCAGATCAGGAATGTCCAGATAGTAGCCAACCTGATACGTCGCCAGTGGAATTCACTTCTTGTCCAACCAAAAGTGATAATTATTTAACTGCATCTGAGCGACAGATGTCTTTGCTGATGATAGAAAGTTTGGTAGAAAATGAGAATATCAAAAAACTGTCAGGATCGGACATTTTAAAGAACAAGAAATCTCCGAATACTGAACAATTCTACAAACGTAGATTAAACAGCTTAAATAGAAAGGCAACGTCTTCTAAGGATGATCAAGGGTCGTATTCCGAGAAAGAATTAACAGCGAACACATTATTGGAATTAAGAAAGAAACGACAGAGGTGTTTCGATGCAGCGAAGGCAGGGTCAGCTATTATAGACAAATGTACGATAGATGAAAGTGAAGAATTTGCAGGAAGACAGAAATCAGATGTGCCAAAATCATTGCAGTGCAATGCAAAATTTGAGCGAACGCTTTCCATCTGCGCAGGTTATTATTCTGAGTTGATGAATACATTTCAGTCATATGCCACAGTACCTCCAAAAGTTGAGGATCTCAAACCAAGTGAAAAGACTAAAAGTCTTTTAAAATCCAATACTGCTTCCGTCAACCGTAAACCTGTGAAATCTGTGAAATTGGTTAAATCAACACAGAGAGTTCAGCTTGGCGCCAGTAAAAATTCTGCTTCGACAGAAAAAGGCAATACTATGAGGACAGTCAGTTGTAAAACAACATTGCAAAGAAGAGTGCCTAAAGCTTTACCTACTGAAAAGACAAAACAGTTGTCTTCGAATGTAGTTCAGAAAGACTTCAGAAAGAACAAGGGCTTGAATACTACATTTTTACAGTTAAGTAGTAAGAAGCGTAAAGCTGAGCATGTATCACCAATTTTCAAAGACGGAAAACATATTGTTATGAAGACGAAAGAATTAAATGAAGCAAAGTCTGAACGACCACAAAGTGTTAAAGCTACTCGAAGTCCACTTAATGCAAATTACTCGCCTCAAAAGTTACCAAAAAATATGTCTCCAAAACCTTTGTCACCTCTGGTTTTACCAAAATCTCGATTAGCAAAAGAGAATAGACATCCATCTCCCAAAGGAGTGTTCACGAAACCAGTATCACCTGTGATACATCAAAGTCGCCTTCAACCAGGTAATTTATTATATAAATCAGTTGCAAAATAAAAACCTGTTGTTTCAGTTTGAATCATGTAATCTGTATTGAACATTATGTATTTTTCTTACTTCGTCATCAATCGATGTACATAATATCCCTACTGATTATTCATAGTTTATTTCATGTTACATTTTGCTGTTTGTAGTGATATTGAAACGGAGTACGTCGAAGAACCCTGCCTGTGTAAAAAGTCCAAAAGGAATATTCCAGTTGCAAAAAGATGCAAGCATCAGTCCTGGGCCATCATTGGATGACACCTCTAATCGCAGTCCTACCTTCAGATATTTCACGACTCCTGGAAAGAATACATCTTTTCTGAAACGAAAAAGGCCAAAAACATATTTTACAGAATTTACGAATTTACATTGAAATGCCACAAAAAGTCTATCAAGCTCTTGTGCACGGTCGCGAGTAAAAAAAAAAAGTGAGACAAGAAAGTGTGATAGTGAAAGTAACAACGATAATATATGTAATTTATGTTATAATACAAATAACAAGCTGCTCTTGTAAGATGTGAAACTTATAAATAGTATTCTTTCAACCATAGCTTGTTTTAAGGATTGGAAATTTATTCTTAACGTTTTAACTGCCTAAACTGGATAAACAAAATGTTTTTTTATAAACGATGTTAAGACAATTGAGTTGAATATGACATAACAGTTCTTTGCCAACATCATCTATTTACATTGTGTGGATTCTCATTTTTTTAGTCGATGAAAGGATAAAGAAACAAGGAAAAAGATGAGATCCAACGGTCTGCATGAAAAGAGTTATATAACTTCCGTAGGTTTTGTAAAATCGATATTTTTATGACAATGATGCTGTAACAATTAAAAATTATTTGTTATAACATTTCGATGATTTGTTACAATCCCTCATTCTAAAGTTATTCATACACTAGCATTAACAATAATCGTATAGAGTAAAGCGGATTAACGACTTAGTTTCAGCTTAAACATATCCCCTCAAAACACCTTCTGTGTACAAAAATTTAGCCAAATACATTTATCTTTATTCAACTAATTGCAAAAATGGCGATTCAAATTCCGCGCTGGTCTCCCCGCTAGTACGCCGCGCGGCCGGAGAGAGCAGTAGGTCCGCGAGGTAACCATCGACTAATGCCAATGAACTTTATTTACTTCTTTATGTGAATACTCCATGCTCTGACATATATCAATTATTTAAAAAGCCTGTATGCAAGGTAAAGAAGGATTAATAAGTAATCATAAAAGATACGTTACAAATCCAGTGATGGCATTTGAATTCTAGAGGACAGTGGATTACAATAATATCCTTGAGTTAATTCTACAAAATAAAAAAATTCGTATGTAAAGATCAGTTGCAAACATTAACAACAACATTAGCAAATGAAGCTACGAAAGAATATTTTACCCCGAACTTTGAGTGATGTTTGCTCAATGACGTTTATCCTAATTATTGTGCCAATGATATATTGGTTCGAACTGTGGGTAGTTCTACCAGACTTGTACCAACCTGGAACACGGCGCTACTATTTTCACTTTTTCTTGGGAAATTTTATTATGTTGAACATCGTAGGTAATTTCACTTACACAGTTCTCTATGATACAAGTACAGCAAATATAGTGATGCCTACAAGTACGGCAACTGCTCACAATGGCTGGAGACTATGTGCAACGTGTGAAGCAATCGCGCCACCTCGCTCGTGGCACTGCCCAACTTGCGATGTCTGCATATTAAAACGTGATCACCACTGCATCTTTACCGGTTGCTGCATCGGTCATTTCAATCATCGATACTTTCTTATGTTCCTCTTTTATTTATTTGTAGCAACAACTTATGCCTTTTGTTTCAACAATTATTTTATTTGGAACAAAATTGAATTCCAGTTTCCAGAGTCCATTGTGAAAATTGTCTTTCCTCTGGCGATATTTGTATTTGAATTCGATAATTCTATGGAGCAATTTTATTTAATGCTCTATATTGTATCTATCGTTGGAATGCTGTTCAGTGGTGTCTTATGTGTTTTTCATTTTCGACTTGTATTTATTGGATGTGTAGCTGACGAATCGAATAAGCAGATCTATACCTACAGTTTAGGTTGGAAAAGAAATATTCTAGAAGTTTTTGGTGAACGATGGTACTTAACATTTTTACTACCGTATGTGCATTCTAAAGTACCAAGTGATGGCATTACATGGGAGATATCGTCAGTACAAAACAAAGATAATAATAAAACAAAATGAGTTTTTCTCAATCTTCAGATAAGTAAATTAATTTGTTTCATATCTGTGCGCGCGAACAAATGCATGGTAATGGTTAAGGCTTAATTAAAATTATTGTAGCACCTTAGGAGTTAAAGAAAATATGGTAAACTACTGATGTACGTTTCTTTTGTACTTTATATACTGATCCTAAAAATAGTTTTGCTCAGTATTTGTGTATTGCATTTATGTATTATAAATAATAACCGTGTTGTAAATTTCTTATAAGATAAAACATATTTTTTAAGTGAGTACTCGTTCAGTGAGTAGTTAAATATTTGAACATATACTATAAACATTAGAACATTTGTTGTGCTGTGATTGTTTAAAAAAAGCATTAATTTGTCATTATGACATTCAAATAAAACAACTACAATATATATGTAAGTGACTTAAATTTTTATTCAATTATGATTACAACAAATATTGTCAAAATTAGATATCTTTGCACAAATCATATGTTTAAACAATATTTTTTATAAATAGTGAATGTGCATTTAGAGATTATATTTTTGCATTCTCACATCTTATTGAACTATGTTAAAAAATAATATCTGACATAGTTTTTGACACAGGAGATACACATTTTCTGAACTCAATTTTTAATGAGAAGTACAATTAATATCATACATTATGCAGTATTAAGAGGATATGAACAGGAGATGCTCACGGCAATAAATCCAGGGGTTCTATTACATAAAGCAAATTGAGCGAAAATGTGAAAAATAAGTAGCTCACGGTACTACAGAACGTTTTTGGTGGTGAAAATGAGAGACCATTCATATAACTGGTTCAGCACAAACTTTTAAGCGAAATGGTGAAGCATACAAGAAAAGATAGAAAAATAAGCACCGTGAACGCCATCTTCCACGGATTGTTTCACCGAAATTCAAAATGGAAACCCTCCTGGGTCTTTTGATCTTTAGCAACAATCGTATTCGGGGACGTAATAGAAACCTTATTAGAAGAAGGGAATTATGCGATGCCTCAGACCCATTTGCATTAGATGAAAGAGAATTTACTAAGATGTACAGGTTAGTTTTTGTTATTGCGAGATTATATTACACTATCGAACATTGAAAACTGTTAAATAATTCATGCTTACATTATATGATAAAAAATTATATTGTTGAGCTTCTAATTATAATACACGTAAATACGAATGTAATACATATTTAAAAAATATAGATAGACTCGAGTCTTCTTCACTTTTAATCAGGGGGTCGACACTCCTTATGGGAGAGGTGTAATGCTGAAGTTAGTTCACCTACTCCAAGTAAAGACTGCGCTGGTGTCGTGACTTTTCAGTCTAATAGAAAGAGAAGAACAGAGAAAAAATGTTCTAACTAATAGCAAGAGACTCCAGGAGATGAAGCGGCGCAGCGTTAGAGTTCGAAAATTCTCGGTAACATTAAATTGGAGAAGGTAACTGTGAAACATACCGTAAGTTACCGGGAACATTGAGAATTTAAGAGAACGTTAATTTTGTTATTTATACTTTAGGTTTCTTCATTTAAATAACTTTTTTTTTTCAATCAACTTCGAAGTTCAAGCTAAAGAGTAATAATTACTATCAGAAAATATTGATTATAGGGTCGTATTTACCTCCAGCTAAAAATATTCACGTATGTACAACTTTACGGAAAATTCCATGCGATTTGTTTCAAATGAACTGATATTTCATTCTGCGACGAAGCGAATGGGAGGTTTTGATTGGCTACGGAGAACGTACAACGGAAATTCCCCTCTACGATGTTTCTCTACAGCTAACCGAAACCTCTCGTTCGATATGTTGAAAAATTCAAATTCTCATAATTTCTCGATAAAAAAGGCTTTGGAGAAATTACCGATAAGTTACCGAGAATTTCACTTCGTTTCTGACGTAATTTACTGGATTTAGAACTCTACGCAGCGTAGATGCGCATGAAAAGTGTCGGGCGAGTGAACTTGGTATCTCGGTTTTAAATCTGTGTCCCTTATTGCGCGTGTGTTCGCGGAGCGGAGAGGGGGATTAACCCCCGCTTAGGGCAGCCACGCCGCCCATACTCTTCCCCTCACTCTGTAATGCTTTAATTCGCCCGTGCTGCCATCTAACGTCTCGCTTGGTTACTGTTTATTGGGTACCAAGCGTTAACGCGGGAACTGGGCTTCTATGGAGACTTCTGTATTCTTTAAGACAGGTAACGGAAGATTGAGGACGGTGTCGATCGAAAAGCCGAATGATTCGAAATGCTATCAGCTGCTATCGATAAAGCCGACGTTTTAGTAAATGAAAATAATATTGGGAATAAAGATGCAAACACCGTGGAAGAGGAACTGCCTTTTAAGAGAGATTCTCCTGAAAAAGGTACGGGTATCGAAATCAAACAAGAGCTGGAAACGCCGCCGAGTCCGAATTCTGACACTTCGTTAAAGGAAGGTAGCAATTCATCTCGGTTACCTACGATGCAAATGAAATTAAGGGAGCACTCTACGAGAGGTAGATGGGCGACGTCCAGAGGAAGGCGTAGAGGCTCGTCGCGACAAATTTCTCTCAAGAATCATTCGTCAATAACAACTACCCAGAATGGAAGGTCAAGCAAACGTAAGATTCTCGCGGCCGAAGTACAGCCTCTTGAAAAGTTTCTTGTACTGCAAGAACCTTCGATAGCGAATGGAAATATCAGTGAGGCTGTAAATGTCGAACAGGAAACCATGGATTGCGAGACGGAATGTAATTCTAACGTGGATAAGAAAATTAAACTTGATATTCCTAATGAGGAAACAACCGATTCTAAAGGAAGATTTAAGAAGCCAATCAAAGAGCCAGAGAAATGCGAGTTGTGCCGGCAAAAATTGGTGGATGGCGAAATTGCTCTTTATCCCGGTCATCCCAATGGAGCCGTCGAAGAATACATAGCCTTGACGGATCCAAGATTATCTTTATTCACCGGAGAAGAGGCTGCAATTGCGGAAGGAGACGAACGACCTCAAAATAAATTAACTTATTTTAGGTAGGTTGCCGATGTGCCCATTGTACTATTCGGGAATTCCGAAGTGTATGTTCATGGTAACGAAGTTCGATTATTGAAAATCTATTTCAAAAATGATTTTTTTTATGTTCAGTGTGTACGATAAAAATGGCCACCTCTGCCCATTTGATACCGGACTTCTTGAAAAGAATGTTTTCTTATATTTTTCGGGTTACATGAAAGCAATTTATGAAGAAGATTCTAGCGCAGAAGGTGGTGTTCCTACAAAAGATATAGGACCATTCAACGAATGGTGGCTATCGGGTTTTGATGGTGGTGAACTAGCGTTAATCGGAGTTGGAACAGCTTTCGCAGAATATATCTTGATGGAACCTTCCGAAGCGTATGCTCCTTTTATGGTTACCCTAAGAGAAAAGATTCATATGAGTAAATTTGTCATTGAATTCTTATTGGATGAAGTTAATCCGAGTTACGAAGATCTGCTTAATAAACTTCAGGTAGATTTTTAATTCGCTGAACTATCTTGGTGCGACCTCTGTGATATTTTATTCAAAGTCTAGTAAGGGTCAAGGATGAATTAGCATTAATAATAAGATTTAATTTGCAGACCGCTGTACCGCCTAAAGGTGTATCAAATTTTACAGAGGACTCGTTACTAAGACACGCCCAATTTGTTTGCGATCAAGTTCTTTCGTTCGATACTTCAGCTAAACCCGAAGATCCTCTTCTTATCGTAAGTCCTTGCATGCGGGCACTAGTCAGTTTGGCAGGTGTAACCATTGGAAAGAGACTGGCCACACGTAGGGCTCAACGCAGAGACCAGAAATCAAAGAAACCCGCTTGGACAAGAGCAACGACCACGCAATTGGTTAATAATATGTTTGAAACTTTCTTCACGGAACAGCTTGCTCAATTTGATAAAGAGCCAATGGTGAGTTGTCGAATGGCAGCGACACCTTGCAGAGACGAGTGCATTCTATGTAAACGATAATCAATTTTGCAGGGTCCAAAGAGACGTAGATGCGGAGTTTGCGAAGCATGCCAACAACCAGCTTGCGGCGTATGCCCTGCTTGCAAAGACATGGTCAAATTTGGGGGTACAGGCCGCAGTAAGCAGGCCTGCGTCAAAAGAAGGTGTCCTAACATGGCGATACAGGTTTGACACCCGTTTTCTGTTTTTTTTTTTCCTCTAAATTTCCTCTTCTTCTCTGCAATTTTCCAATTGTAGGAAGCGGACGATTCCGAACCAGAAGATGAAGAGGCATATCAGACCCTGGCTGTTCCAGCTATTACAAAGCATCAGCAGATCCTAAAATCTTTAAAGCGGGTAAAGAAAGAAGTGAAGTGGCTCGGCGAATCGATCGCTACTGACGCAAAAAAAGTATTCTACTCGGGTGTCGACGTTTCCGGAGAAGAGATACGTGTTAACGATTACGTGATGATCGAACCTAGCGATCCATCGATCGCCTTGCAGTTAGCTAAAGTCATGTACATGTGGGAGAACAAGAAGGGCGAGTGTTTGTTTCATGGCAATTGGTTTCGGAGAGGCAGTGATACCGTTCTTGGGGAAACCTCTGATCCAACTGAATTATTTTTGATCGATGAGTGCGATGACCTTGTTTTAACTTCTATCAAAACAAAAGCTACCGTCACACTCCGGGAGCCTGCCTCGGATTGGGCAGAATTAGGTGAGTCGTGCCCTCTCTTTTAATACGATAGGGCATTCCCACCTGAATTTCTTCTTATCTTCAATGATTACAATTTATCAAAACACTATTGTAGGGACAATTTGTTCTTAAATTGCATATTAAGAAGTTGTCTTGGAATTCTCCTTAAGCTACCATAAAGGACTTTTTACCTCCAGGTAATCAAGACACCAGTTTGGATACCGAAGCATCGGAAGCCGATGGGAAAGCCTTTTTCTACCAAAAGATGTACATTCCGTCCAGTGCGCGCTTCGAAGATCCTCCCGTCGATCCGCCATGCGAGAAAGACATGGATTACCATTATTGTCCTGCATGCCTTCGTTCCGACATCGCCCAAGAGCGAATTACTCCAAAGGTACCATTTCATTCCAAGATATAGACGCGACCTGCAAGATATCCTAACGTATCGGCTAACCGCCACTTTATTATTTTCCTTTAAGGTTTTCGAGCGAGGCGAGGAGAAGTCGGACGACAAAGTGGTCTACGGCATGGTCCGATACAAAGACGAAGAATACCGAGTGGGCAGCTCAGTGTACCTGTTTCCTGGAGCATTTAAATTCACGTACGTTACGACGTGGCCCGAGCCCGCGAAGGTGAAGAAAGAGAAGGTCGACGAGGACGTATACCCCGAATTTTACCGAAAATCCTCCGAACACGTGAAAGGTTCGAATTATGACACTCCGGAGCCATTCCACATAGGGTACATAACGTCGATCTTCGCCACCACTACCGACAAAGTGGTACCGGCTTCGGATATTTGGATTACGGCCAAGAAGATGTACAGGCCGGAAAACACGCATAAGGGACCCTCCTTGACGCAACAGGTCGACTTGAACGTTCTCTACTGGAGCGACGAAGGTGAGCACCTCTCCCTAACCGTAACATCTTGTTCTAACTTTAATTATTCGCGATACCGACTTTCCGTTATCACGCAGAACGCAGTATACGCTTCACGGAGGTAGCCGGGAAGTGTTACGTAGTCTCCTCGGAGACCTTGGATCAATCCGTCGAAGAGTGGACCGCTGCCGGGCCAAATCGTTTTTACTTCACGCAAGCCTACAACATCAAGGAAAAGACATTCACCGATCCTCCGGCGCACGCGTTGATCGGTAAACGCGATAAGGGTAAAGCCAAAGGCAAGGGTAGATTCAAAATAAAGAGCAAGAAAGCCGAATGCGAGGATCAGAAGAAGTTCGACGTGCCGGTGAACCATTGCTCGATAGCGCGGAAATTGAGAACTCTGGACGTCTTCGCTGGATGCGGTGGTACGTTTTACGTATATTTCGGCAGTTCCGAATAAGAAAATACGGTGGTTGCCCTCGGACATTTAAGGTGAAGTGAAACCCCCTTCAAATCAGTCGATTCGAATACAACACCTTTTTTTTAAGGGTATTAGACCAAACTGTCCGAAACTTTGACACATCACTCCTGATCATCTAAGAGTTGTCCTGACACATTCAACATTTGGATTTTTTTTTTTAATATTTTAACTCAGATCAGACCAGAACCAAAATGGCGTCGAGCTCTAATATTTCGATCAATATACAATTATCGAAGGCTCTGATATGAGAATCGAAAGGGTCGGGACAATTNAAAATTTAATTGACCTGGAAATCACAGATGGCGCAGGGGGTCCCTCTGCAGTCAATTAGGGCCCCAGAAAGCATGAATCCAGAGGATTTCTGGAGTTTTACTTCGATTTCTTTATAATTATTGTACGAAAACGACAGGTGGAGTATGCCACTTAAGGCAATACCCAATATAGTTCGACACAGCTGTCAATATTAAAACGAACGTCGGCAACGTAGGCATTTAGAAAAATCTTTATCGACGTCGATCAAGTTCCTCGACGTGTTTCACTTCACCTTAATTAGCCGCAGACAGAGGTGATTTCGATTGGGTCTCGTTGCAGGACTTTCGGAGGGACTGCGTCAAGCAGGAGTGGCAGAGAGTTTATGGGCGATCGAGAAGGAGGAGCCCGCTGCTCATGCCTACCGTTTCAACAATCCCGACACCGTCGTCTTCTCGGAGGACTGCAACGTTCTGCTGAAAAGGGTGATGGACGTAAGTGAGATTTACTTGAGAATTTCCCCGATCCATGGGTAAAACCGAGCGAGACTGCGAAACCCGACCATCGAGAGGGATGAGGACGCGGCTAGGAGTTCAGGTCTCGCGATGATCCCCCCGTTACCTATCCGCTTATTTCCCCGTCGAGCGTACGTCGACGAGCACTGACTTTTCAGGGAGACGAAACGGACGACAACGGGCAGCGGTTGCCTAAAAAAGGCGAGGTGGAACTCTTGTGCGGCGGACCGCCGTGTCAAGGCTTTAGCGGCATGAATCGCTTCAATTCGCGACAGTATTCCTTGTTTAAGAACTCTTTGGTGGTCTCGTACTTGTCCTACTGCGACTATTACAGACCAAGGTTCTTCGTAATGGAGAACGTCCGAAACTTCGTCTCGTTTAAAAGGAGTATGGTGCTCAAGTTGACCCTGAGGTGTCTCATTCGTATGGGATACCAGTGCACGTTCGGCATCCTGCAGGCCGGGAACTATGGAGTCCCCCAAACGAGAAGACGGTGAGTGAGACCCTTGTCTGATGTTACAGAAAGTGAAGCCGTAAATCTCTTTTGCAGCCTGTTCATTCTCGCCGCAGCTCCTGGAGAAATCTTGCCCAGGTACCCGGAGCCCACTCACGTGTTCAGTAAACATGCCTGCCAGTTGAGCGTGGTGGTCGACGATCAGAAGGTGAGTCTCTTTCGAGTCCCGGGGTTTAAGGTGAAGTGAAACCCCCTTCAGATCAGTCGATTCGAATACAACACTCTTTTTTTAAGGGTATTAGACCAAACTGTCCGAAACTTTGACACGTCACTCCTAATCGTCTAAGAATTGTCCTGGCGCATTCAAAATTTGGATTTTACAATTGTCCAAGGCTCTGATATGTGAATCGAAAGGGTCAGGACAATTTCACAACAATTTAGAACACTCTGGTAATCGATAAACTCGCATTTGAGCGGGATAAAGGCAAAGAAAGTGTTTTATGCGCTTCTATACTAATATGATGGAAATACGAGGTCTCGGAGTAGAAATTTAATTAACCTCAAAATCACAGATGGCGCAAGGTGACCCTCTGCAGCCAATTAAGGCCCCAGAAAGCATGAATCCAGAGGATTTCTGGAGTTTTACTTCGATTTCTTTATAATTATTGTACGGAAACGGCATGTGGAGTATGCCATTTAGTGTAGTACCCAATATAATTCGACACAACTGTCAATATAAAAACGAACGTAGGCAACGTAGGTATTTAGAAAAATCTTTATCGACGTCGATCAAGTTCCTCGACTTATTTCACTTCACCTTAAGGAGGTCCAGGGCCTCGGCTACCCGAGATCCATATCCTATATTCAACGTTTTTCCAGTACTCCTCCAATTGCGAGTGGACGGAGTCGGCGCCCTATCGCACCATCAGCGTCAGGGATGCCATGTCCGATCTGCCCAGCATCCGGAACGGGTGGAGCAACGACGAGATGGCCTACAGCGAAGAGTCGACCTCTCACTTCCAGAGAAAGGTACGTTCATAGCGGGTGACGACGAGTGCAGGTAGTATAGTCGATCGATCCCTGATAGATGAGAGGAAACGAGTGCCATCCGAAATTACGAGACCACGTCTGCAAGGAAATGGCACCGCTAGTCGAGGCTCGCATGGCGCATATTCCCACGGCCAGTGGGTCGGACTGGCGGGACCTTCCGAATATCGTCGTTCGCCTCAGCGATGGAACCTTCTCCAAGAAATTGTACGTATCAATTCTTGAGCAGCTAAACGTCTTTTGGAATTTATCTGGAATTACAATCCCTACCTAGGAGGCCCTCGTAAAGCGGCCTCCTCCTTGCTCGATCAATTATTAAGGTGAACTGACACCCCCTTCAAATCAGTCGATTCGAATACAACACTTTGTTTTAAGGGTATTAGACCAAACTGTCGGAAACTGTGACACATCACTCCTGATCATCTAAGAGTTGTCCTGACACATTCAACATTTGGATTTTTTTTTTTAATTTTTTAACTCAGTTCAGACCAGAACCAAAATGGCGTCGAGTTCTAATATTTCGATCAATATACAATTATCGAAGGCTCTGATATGAGAATCGAAAGGGTCGGGACAATTTTACGACAATTTAGAACACTCTGGTAATCGATAAACTCGCGTTTGAACGGGATAAAGGCAAAAAAAGTGTCTTAAGCGCTTCTATGCTAAAACGATGGGAATGCGAGGTCCCGGAGAGAAAATTTAATTGACCTGGAAATCACAGATGGCGCAGGGGGTCCCTCTGCAGTCAATTAGGCCCCCAGAAAGCATGAATTCTGGGGATTTCTGGAGTTTTACTTCGATTTCTTTATAATTATTGTACGAAAACGACAGGTGGAGTATGCCATTTGGTACAATGCCCAATATAATTCGATACAGCTGTTCATATGAAAACAAACGTCGGCGACGTAGGCATTTAGAAAAATCTTTATCGACGTTGATCAAGTTCCTCGACGTGTTTCACTTCACGTTAATGGGTGGATTTGTTCCGATTCTCCTCGTTTTAGAGAATACCCATACGACGATAAAAAAGCTGGGAGGAGCTCGAAGGGCGCGCGTCGAGGAGTTTGCAGTTGTTGCATAGGTAAACCGTGTGACCCGATGGATCGACAATTCAACACTCTGATTCCATGGTGCCTCCCGCATACCGGGAACCGCCACAACAATTGGGCGGGACTTTATGGTCGATTGGAGTGGGATGGATTTTTCGGCACCACCATCACGAATCCGGAGCCTATGGGCAAACAGGTTCGTCCTACCATTCGTTGTAATCAATGGACGACTATCTTTGTTTTACGAAAGGTTTTACCCATCGTTTCTCGTTTAAGGGTCGAGTCTTGCATCCCGAGCAGACGCGTTTGGTGAGCGTTAGGGAATGCGCCCGGTCTCAAGGATTTCCTGATACGTTCCGCTTCTTTGGGACCGTTCTCGACAAACATCGACAAGTCGGTAACGCGGTTCCGCCTCCTCTAGGTGCGGCCATCGGTCGCGAGATTCGAAAATGTCTGGACGAGGGACGAAGGAACCACGAGGAGACAACGGTGGAGCCTCTGCTCGAACCCAAGCCGGCAACGGACATTATCGCCAGTTCTAATTGAGACCGTGTCTTGCTTGATACCAGCGATTTTAATTAATCTAGACCGCTGTCGAGCCGTTCATCCTCTCGATCGAGATTTTACACCTGGATTTCTACTCCCATCGGCCATTCCGCCGGTCAAGTGAACTCGGATCCGTCGTTTTGTCTTTTACAACCGTCATACCTCCTCTCATGCACTGCCAGATATATGATGTATACATAATTGTATATATATTTTTTTATTCAAGTTGACTATCACGTTTACCGTTGTTTCTACTGTGCCTTGTGCGAATTAATAAAATGCAAGTCTATTTATACGTGGCATTCACAGAGAATGAAAGAGTCAGCCTATATATATCTGAGAAGTCAAATCATTGGTGAAAGTATTCCCCGAATTGGGGGTATCGATTCGTTTCAGATTTTACCACATGAATACGGAAGCCCTAAAGTACATCTTGAAACTCATGAAATTTCATTTTTCATACAAAATTTATTTACTTATCATGGACTGGAACCAACATGGTGGAGTTTGTATACTTTTTTGGTGTTTTACGCTTCTTGGTGGCTTGCAATCGAAAATGAAGAGTTTCAGGATCTACCTCGAACAATATAGAATACAGTAGAAATGGAATATTACAGTCAGATGGGAAAATCTGGTAAACAGGGTTGGGTAATTTCATGCTTTTCCAGGTTTTTGACGTATATTACGTAAAATAGTTTACCGGAGAAAACGTAGAAAAACCAGGAGAAAACGTATCAAATATGGCGGACAAGACAGATGTAGGGCAAAGAATTCAGAAGTCTCCATAGAAGCCCAGAAAGGTACGGACGTTCGATGCTCGATAAATAGTATGTTAGCCAACGGATGGCGGCGTTGTAATCATCCCTCCATCTCTCTTAATCTTATGGGGATATATAGCGAATTGCATTATTTCTTTATCTTACCCACAATACTCGCCTTATATGCGTCTCTCTTCCTCCCGTATGTAAGATATCGTTGGCTAGCACATGCGATCTCTCTTTTACCCCCCACTTTTGGTTTGTTAGCCAACTTTTAGAGCATCAAGCGCTAACATAGAATCTGGGCTTCTATGGAACTTCTGAATTCTTTGTGTAGGGCAAGCGGTATCCGCTACGTTATACATCCATCTTGTTCATTTGTTTCATCCCATAATTTACTTTCTGATCTCCCACCTTTATACATTTTGATACAAATATTGGTTACGAATCTTACGACTTTAAATAGTCATTATCAGCCGTTATAAACAAACGTCAAATGCACATATATGCATACATTTCAAATTTCCTAGGCTGATTTCGAATGTGCGCGTATTTGTGGATGCTTAAAGCGCAATCCCCTTAATAGCCAATGGCAATCTCTCTTAGAGGTAAATAGGTGGACTCTTATTGGCTATTTACGATATTGCGCATGCGCTTTGCACATTTAGTTTGGGACAATATACTTCGTGCCTACGTAGAAAACTAGGAACGTATTATACGTTATAATGTACATGTAGAAAATCGCTGCTTGACGTATTATACTTACCCAACTGGTTGTAAATACTTTCACCGACGATTGCAAGAGAATGCTGGCTTGTCCTGCGGCTAACACGTGTGTTTAGAGCAAAAATTTAGTTGCAGCTAAACTTCACAGATGGCGACGTTAGTTCGTCCAAATATAAACAGTCATGAATTCATGGGATTTCGGCAGTTTTACATCGATCTTTTTATCATTACTTTACCGAAACAACATATAGAACCCTTCAGTTCATATAATTCTCAATATAGACTGTAAAAGACTTCAATGTAAATCTAAATGTTGGTAATGGGACGCGCCAGCTTATGTTGCCACTTGAGCATTCAAAATGGCATTACCATCAAAAAGGGTATAGATGAATTTTACTTTATCGACGTTGATTAAGTTTCTTAGCACCTTTCATATCCTCATAAATACGGCATTTATAATAATATAAATATTCTTAAAGTGGTATGAAAGGCACTGAGAAATTTAATCGACGTCGATAAAATAAAATTCATCTATACTCTTTTTGGTGGTAAAACCATTTTGGATACTTAAGTGGTACCCTAAGGTGGCGTGCTATGTTACCAACATTTACATTTACGTTGAAGTCTACGTTGGGAATTATACGAAATGAAGCATTCCATGTGTCACTTCAGTATCATAAAGAGAAAAGAGAAAGAGAATCATAAGGAGATTTAATTAAAACTGACGAAATCCCGTGGATTCATCATTTTGTATATACTAAGGAACCAACGGCGCCATCTGCGACGTTTAGCTGCAACTAAATTTTTTCTTTGAAACCACGTGTTATCCACGGGACAAACCAATCGTTCGTGAAAGTATTTTCCATATTTTCCCGTCTGACTCCATAATATTCCATTTCTATAGTATTCTAAATTCGCGCTAGATCCAGAAATATTTCATTTTCTATGCTGAGCCTTAAAGAAACGTGAAATATTAAAGCGCGCACGGACAACGTCATGTTGATTCTAGTCCATGATTAATAATAAAATTTGTGATATAAAACAAAATTTCATGAATTTCAGGGCCTACCTTAGGATCTCTATATTCACGTGGTAAGAAACGAATCGGTACACCCAATTCGGAGAATATTTTTATATTTACTAATATATATAGGTTGACTCTTTCATATCACCTTAAGATGATTGCTGTTTAAACTATCAATTTGGTTAACGGTGTTAATTTACCTTTAAGGGATCAAGCTCACTATGTTTTCCAACGTCTAGGAAAGATACAACTCTAAAAAATATTGCATGACCATATTAAATGAAAATGTGAGAGTATTAAAAATTGATAGATCACAAATTAATTTCATAAACAATTTTGATTTCAATATATACACTGATCGATGTACAGTTCATTGCGTTGATAACAATAAGTTAACCAATGTTAATAATAGTCGTAAATAAGTTTAATTTGATATAAGCTTTAAGCTGTACAATGTGTAGATTTTTCGTGCGCAAAGTTCTTGTAAGATCCCTAAAAAGTCACAAATACGATTGAAGCATTTACGAGCCCAATTTGTAATTTAACCGCAATCAAAAATTAAAAACATTTTCCGTCCTGAATTTTAATTTAATATCAAAGAGAAATAATCTGTTAGACGTGTGCTACATTTGAAACGGCATACGAGCGTAGAAAAGCGTCGCACACCTCTACTAAAAATTAACAGTTCTTCGGGTAGCAAATGACCGTTCAAAGAATATAATATTATTCCGATATGCATGAGAAAAATGATTCTTAATAAGATCTAACTTGAAACTATATAAATGGACAAGTATTTTCAATCGTGATGTGTGTATGAATTTGGAACTTCCCACATTTGGTTTGAACGTGGCAGCTTTTCCAGCTGTGTATATATGATCTTGATTCTAAATTGATTGCAAGTGAAAGTCATATAAATGACCCTTAAGCCTAATATATTATATACATCATTACAGATCACAGGTACAAAAAGTTTAGTTTAGAACCAAAGATCGCCAGCGACATCTTCCTCTTGAGGCGGCTGTTGCTGTAATTCTTGTTTCTCCCGCGAGGTATTGTTTTCAGCGTCCTCGTCGCTCTCGGAAACGGCTAAATCATCTTGAATTTTATCCGTACCTTTATCCCCTCTTGCTGGGAGTCCGGCCAATAGAAAGTCTGAAGGATCGTAATTTGGATCAACATCCATACTCTCATCTGAAAAGAATAATTCACCATTAGAAATGTTTTATTAGAGTTATTGTAATTTTCGATTTTCTTTAATGTCGTAGACTTAAGGTGATGTGAAGGTCAGCCTATATATATCTGAGAGGTAAATCATTCGTGAAAGTATTCACCGAATTGGGCGTACCGATTCGTTTCTTATCACGTGAATATGGAAATCCTAATGTAGATTTGTAGTAGTTGTAGGTATGTTTTTCTTTTTGACATATTTTGCGCTTTTACAATGTTTAGAATCGAAAATGAAGAGTTTCAGGACCTAGTTCGAACAATTTAGAATACTATAGAAATGGAATATTACACAGGAGTTTATTAGAATATCAAAAATCATGAATCCACAGGATTTCTGCAGTTTTAGTTTGACTTCGATCTCTTTACAATTATTCTACCGAAGTGGCATATGTAACGCTTCATTTTATATAATTCTCATCGTAGAGTATAACACACATCGACATAAATATAAATGTTGGTAGCGTGGCACGCCAACTTATGTTACCACTTAAGTATCCAAAATAGCGTTTACCACCAAAAAAAGTATAGATGAATATTATTTTATCGACATCGATTAAATTTCTCAGCGCCTTTCATATGACCTTCATACAAAGAATGGTTTTAACACAGACAAAATGAACAATAATTTTACCTATTAAGTGATTTTATAATCATGCACAGAGAAACTCAAATTCAACACAGTGCAAAGTATTATTTTATCAGTTAATTAAACCAAATTTGTGACTGCATACCGCAATCAAAGTGCAATCTAATATTTCCATTTGATAATTTGAGATATGGCGACACAGCTTAACAGATACGATATGTTTTTGTCATTATTTCTTTTGAGTAAATTCCTACTTGTTAAATAACTGACTTAGATGTTTTCCTAACATCATACATCGTAATGACATAAGTATAACCTTATGGAAATAAAAAATAATATCACTGTTGCACAATTTTTATGTTCGCACGGTCTAACTGTACCTTGTTGAAGCAGTTGTTGTTCACCCATGTAGAAGCCAACATTGCCAAGTTGAACCATAGCCTCAGCTGCTTGTTGACTGTCGTCATCGGCAGGTACTTCTTCACCTTCTCTTATTTCACTGACTTCTAAAGCTTCCATTTCAGTTTGTTCAGATTGTTCATCGGCACCAAAAGGCACTTCATCGAATTCATCTTCGCTTGAGAATTGGAGATCTAAAACATGAGCGAATAATTCATTTGTTTTAGCATAAAACCTTCAATAAGATTAATGATTAGAATTTATTTCTTTCATTAATCTCAAATATCTTTTTAAATTGACATCAATTTACCCTCTTCGAGGACATCCTTTTTCTTCGAGTGTGAACCTCTCCCAAGTTCACCATCCATGTCTCCCTCAACGTCGACGAAGTCGAAGTCATCCATATTTGATTTCCCGAACGGATTGTCTGGAGAACTGTTTTGACTCTGCAAACGTAATAATAATGATTAGTAATTGAACTCTTACTTCAGCAGCTTTCTCTATCATTATACCGCGCACATACATTTTCTAGACCCGTCTACTAATAAATTGCATATAAATAATAAAAATCTGACGATCGATGAAAGAAAAATATAATATAATATAAATGATATAAATAAATTGATATCAAATTGATATAAAAAAATATGATATAAATAAATTGACGTATATTATATAAAATAATATAATATACGTCAAATACTTAAAAAAAAAACATCCTTACCCCTCGATATTCTGGTTCAACTATTGTATAATTTTCTTCGTCTGGTCCCATCCAAGATGTGTCCATGTCAGCTTGTTCCATCGCCCTTTGTTGAACCAATGCAATATTGTTTTCCAATTGTGACAGATGCTCGTCATACTAAAAAAAAAAAGAAAATAGTCAATGAATAATGATTAACCTTCTTCTTTTTGTAATCACTTTACTTTAGTCGATTTTATAACCAAAATTTTGATTGTTAGATAGTACCTCGTCTAAAGTATCTTTGCAGACTTTTACAAGAAGTTCGGCTTTTCTGGTGAAAGGAGACTCCTTGCCATTGTAAATCGTACAATTTTCCAAAATCTGCTCGATGTCTCTTAGAAAATCATGACGACTATGATATTTGTGAGCTGAAAGAAGAGAATTTCTTTAACTTCATGTTCTTTAATGAATAAAATTTTATCATATATTGTACGGGGAATAAAATAATGATTACCTGATACTTTTTTAGAAATAGTATCCAAGTCCATTGGTCGGTTGATAACACTGTAGTAATCTTTGACTAGCTTTTTGTTTACAGGTTTAAGGAAAGGCCAAGCCTCCGTCATTGATTTCAATTTGTTGTTCACAACATTGTCTAGGATAAAGGTAAGAGCAACTTGGTCGTTGTCATCCAAAAGAGGATTAATAGCTTTTTCGAGTCTCATTAGTCGATCTTCTTTTTCACCAAGTCTCTCTACGCACGTTTCTAACATTCGTTTTGCGGCAACCGTTAACGAACTCTTAGGACCGTTATAAAGATTTGAATTTTCAACAATTTGATTTACATCAGCCAAGAATTCTTCCCTACTTTGATACTTCTTTTGCCGTAGATTTTCTCGTATCGTTTGAAGATCCATGGGCCTCTGAATAATCTTGTAATAATCAGGTACCGCCTATGCAAAAATATTTAATACATTAAATCCTGCGTACGCTGCAAACTTATTACATTTAAGTAAAAAGATATGCGACATATAAATTGAATAGAATCACGCAAACAAAAATACATCTGTTATAACTACAGATTAAATAGTATGGAAAATCATTATAAGTGTGCATATACACGTCAAAGACAAGTGTAATTGTAGTCTTTAAATTAAATCATACTAAATGAAAAGAAGATCCGTCATTGCAGTACATTTTCAATTAGCCTAATACTATACAAAGAATTATTTGTTTTTATATATTTCCATGAAAAATATATTAAACTTGACAACTAAACGTTTTTCCCAATGCACTACTCCAAAACAAAATTATGGCTTTACATTTCACCTATACTTTAGTAGTAATAATGTTGAATACTTTTAAACGCACTTTTGCATTAACGGGAAACAAGAAAGGCTGCACATCGGGTAGATCTCTCATCTCATTAAGAATGCTTTCCAACATTGTCGACATGACAACGACAGGATCTGTTCTTCGTCTATTGGCAGGCCTCTGTTGCCTCTTGAGATAATCACAGTGGTCATCGCCAGTTGCTCTTCTCCTCTTTTTCGAATTGACAGCTTCCTTCGGGACTTTCAGCAACAAGGTTCGCCTTTTCATTTCTTCCGCGTGCTGTTCAGTAATTTTTAGATGTAATTTAAAATGCAAATTAAAAGTAATATAAAATATATAAACATTTCACTGGGATTGGAAACAAGCCTCTTTGAAATGATCAAATGATTACTTTTCATATTCATGGATATTCAAGATTTCATAAGATTCTAATAGATTTCTTAACACTTTGCGAGATTTTAGGTACGAAAGGTTTCAAAACGACTTATGAGATTTTAAGATTTTACAAGGTACCGTTAAATTTCGAAAAATACTATATTATACAAATGTATAGTGTTTTAGTATTTCAAAAAGATCATAATTAAATGATTATTAAGCATCACTGCTATCAGTTTAAAGTATTAAAAACATAAAACAATGTTAAATATTAACATGTTCAAATCGTTTTATTCCATGTATTGGATGGACAAAATGTTCAAAGTATCTTTTTGAAGTACTATTAAAACAGTTATTTTCTATTAATAGGCGGCCAATTCTAACCGTATAAGAATTCGAAACTAATAAAGGATATATAGCCAATAATATTTAGTGAATCCATAAGCTATAAAAATTGTTTCCAGCCTTAAGTGACGTGTTAGAATTAGTTAGAATCGGCCACTATTCAAGTCCATACCTTTATCAGTTTTGAAGACAGCTTCACCTTAGTGCCATCGACATTGACTAAGTCTTGATCTTCGGTATTGAGCTGCTTCTCAATTTCTTCCTCTTGTTCTTCAGTCATAGCAACATTAACAGGCGCAGTAGTAATGCTGTTTTGATATAGTGGACACGCTTTGTTAGTCCTCATATGACCTACGTTACCGCAAGCACCACACTTAAGTTTTAAATCTGGTTTGAGTTTAGGCTTTTTTCGTTTGGAGGGAGAAATTTCAGGTTTAGGATGCTTAGAAATTATGGACGAGGACTGGAAATTGTTACTACTGTTAAAGGGAAGGATACTGGTTGGAGTAGTGGTAGCGGTAGTAGTGGTTGGAGTGTTGGTAGTGCTGCGGTCGAACATGTTGGTAGAACTGAAGCTATTGCCCGAAGGACCAATCATACGTTCTCTTTCCTGATTTCGCTTGATCCTTCGTAGCTGTTCTTGGATTCTTCTCTTCTCTCGCTTCATTTCTTCCTTTTGAGCTTCATCTAACGTCGCGAACTGCTTGATGAAGGTCTCATCTTTAGAATTTCTGATTTTCATATAAGTGTCTATTACTGCTGGCTTCCTCACCAGCTCAACCCTGGTGAATTCTTTACCTTCGGGATTTAAGAAAGTTCTGTAGATCTTCAGCACTCTACCTTGTTGAGAATTGAAACTATTTACAGGGCTGTCTTCTTCTTCATCTTTTTTCTTCTCTTTGCTCTTTTTGTCTTGCTCCTGGATATCGCTCATTAACATTTTTCTTAATTCGTGTCGTTGTTGTTCCTCTCGTTCCAAAGATAACTGCGTGCTCGTCTTCTTATTAGACAACATATTCTCGATATTCTTCCCCATTTCTTCGATGTCGGAGCTGTCTTCTTCGGAACTCTCACCCTCGTCAGTACTCAGAACTTCGTTCGACGAAAGTACTCGGTTTTGAAGATCGAATATTCTCTGACATTCTTCTTTATACCTCTCTTGGTGCTCTGCTATAGAGAATCTGTTACCTCTGGAAAATTTCGTCATTCCTTCTTCACCAGCCTTTGCTTTTTCGGTTGATAGGGTTCTGACAACGTCAATAACTTCCCATCGAGAAAGTTTCTTTATCTCGTCTTCAGGAACTCCGAATTTTCTAAGTAATGCCTTTGCATTGTTTAAAGACAACCTTCTTAAATCAGCGTCAGTTCCTGTCACCGTTCGCTTTGGTTGAGCTTCTTGTTCTTCCTATTAAAAAAAAATGAAATACTTGATAAGGTAAAACCTTCATAAGATACACAAAATGCAGGAATCCCTCATACATTTAAAATAAACCCTACTTAAATATGTAAATTACACATATTTACATTTTTTAACAGTATTTTAACCTCAAATATTCTCGCTAGTTTCTGTAGCACAAGTATTATAAGTATGAAGTGAAAAAAAATATCTTGATTAATTTTTGTAACACTAAGAAAAAATTATTTACCTTGATATTTCAAGAAAATTAAGACCTTGACTGCCAAAATAAATGGCGAGTGTATTATTGGAAAGCGGTTGCCGATCACTGGTGACCACCGTGCCAGTCAACGTGTTAATATTAAAAGAAGAAATCTTCACTTACTTTACTAATTGTAGGCTTATTAGGAACCCTGACGTAAGAAAATCCTTCACCGCATCCAGTCGGATCAGCAGGGCCTGCTAATTGTAGTAGACATTTTCCTCTCATTGCTTGAATGTAAGCTCTCGTGGTATTCCAAGGGGCCACTTTAATTTCATCATCCATTTTCAACTGCATTTCCTCATCATCGTCATCTTGAGGAGTAAAGAGAAATTTCTCGCCATAACCAGCATCTTTTAATCTTTGCTCAGCTGCAATCATGCTGAAGTACGAACAACACTGCTCTGGCGAAACCATTGCCCTTATTTCTTCTTCAGTGGGTAATCTAAAATCGGGTTTAATTACCCACCAATTTGAATCCATTCCTAGACACATAAAACGATCATTAATCTGTTTATTGTATCAAACGAAGATAAAATAAGTTAAGGTGAAGTGAAACACGTTGAGGAACTTGATTGACATCAGTAAAAAAGATTTTCCTACATACCTATGTTACCTACGTTCGTTTTTATATTGACAACTGTGTCGAATTATATTGGGTATTGTACTAAATGGCATACTCTATCTGTTGTTTTCATACAATAATTATAAAGAAATTGAAGTAAAACTCCATAAATCCAAAGGATTTATGGTACCGAGGCCCTAATTGACTGCAGAGGGACCCCCTGCGCCATCTGTCAATTCCGTGTCAACTAAATTTTTACTCCGAGTCCTCATATTACCATCGTTTTACCATAGCAGCGCATAAAACACTTCTATTGCCTTTATCTCGTTCAAATGCAAGTTTATCGATTAACAAAGTGTTCTAAATTGTCGTACGATTATCCTGACACTTTCGTTTTTCATATTTGTCTTCAATAATTGTATATTGGTCGAAATATGAGAGCTCAACGCCATTTTAGTTTTGGTCCGGGCTAAGTTAAAAAATTTGTCTCAAAAATCCAAAGTTTGAAAGTATCAAGATAATTCCTAGGTGATCACGAGTTATGTGTCAAAGTTTCAGACAGTTCGATCGAATAACTTAAAAAAAAAAAATAAAGTGTCTTACTTGAATCGACCGATTTGAGAGGGGCTTCACTTCACCTTAACTCATTGATATTTTACTGTTAGGAATCGATACTGATCGCGAAGTATTATTTCCTTCACTAGTTATTAACATCTTTCCTCAAAATAACTTACTCATCCCACTAACACCCGAAGAGCATTTCTTTATCGTATAACAGCCTGGGCTACTAAAGTAATTTGCTAACGTAGAAGATTTATTTTTTAGGAAATTCCTAAAACACCAGTTTAAAATAAATCTAATGGCCGAACAAACCGGATTCATGTTGTATTATGTTTGGTGTTCGAATGATCAACTTAATTTCCGAAGGATACCTTGTCCCCATTTTTATCAGTGTCTTTACAGATAATTAAAACGATCCGCTTCCATCTGAATCGGACTACCAAGATAAGTTTTCACGGCGTGCATAGCATTTATCGCAATCCTTTCTTTCGAGGTGAACCTTCTACGCAAATTCTACCAAACCTCCTACCAAATTAATTTTGATTTTCCGAAAATGGCACATAATTTAATGAATAGGCTTTAACATATCAGATTATATTATAAAGATAGAATTAAAAAGCATACCCGTCCTTTTGAAGTCAGCGCACAGCTTAAGACGTTTCCGGATGCTACTTTCACTGTGAGATGGGAAAGCCTTTTTGATATCATCCATTTTAATCCTACGAGGAGTATCTCTCGATTTCCAAAACAATCTGTAAATGAAGACTTGAAGGAAATCTCTAACGAAGTTGTTGGCTCTCTTAGAATTCGGTCCTGGTACTTCATACAGAGGACATAACTGACCAGCTACAAAGAGTGCATCCACTTCTCTTACATAGTACTGTTGCCTATAAACGAACAAAAAGTAACATTTTACTTACATGTTTCATATTGTAAATGAGATGAAAGATGTTAATATATTTTTCTATTGAAATACGCGTTCATAAGCAAATTATTTTGATACCATCAAGACTCATTGTTAACTACAAAACTGGATTTAAATGAAACTCATTTTTGCTTTATTTAACTATAAAGACGTCACATTTTTTTTACCGTTACCAACTCTTGAATCAACTGAAAAAGTATATTATTTTATCACACACTAATCGATAATGTGTGTATGTTAGTTCGTCATACTTTCAAAAGTAAAAGCAACGGAGACTTCTGAATTATTTGGTAAAAATAAATTGATAGATGTGGAAATTGAAAAGATTACCGATCAGAAATTTTGATCTCAAGATAAATGGCATATACGAACAAATTTACTAAAACCACTTCAAAAAGACAAGTTCAGTCAGTGAGAAAACGATTTTCTTTCTTCCAACAGGGAAATCATAGATTCGAAATAACGGCAAAAATGATTTTTAAAGAACTACATAAAACAAAAACTCTGATTTTAGTATGTTATTTGAAAAATTATTAATTTAGATCTTTGACATTAGAAAGTATAGTGCGCACAGCAATGCATCGGTCTTTTCTTATTTCTTCAAAAACGTTCAAATATAGATTATATAAAAATCGTATTTTATTTTTGATTTTGTATAAACTTACTGAATCCCACAGTCATACAGGTCGATAAAAATACTTGTTAAAATTCTGAATGTCTTTCGATCTATGTGGAAGTGAAAAAAATGTATCGTAAACTAAAATATTAGATTGATAAAATATCCTTACGATTACATTTACATCATACCTCGTTCTAATGACAAGGAAATCAGTCGAAGGAACTAGATGTTCGTAAATGGGAGCTCTGTACATATTATTCTCGACCGCTTGTATACTTTGGCCGGGTGTTAAAATACCAAGAAATGGACTCGTATGAGCATAAGCTGTCTCTCCATATTTGTACTTCTGCGGTCCCTGATCCTTTCCTGCTTTTCGTTTGTAATAATTTTTCACCTTCGAGCACATTCCTACTTGATTCATTAATGGTGGGTGCTCTTCAGAAAATTCAACAAGAACTAATTCACCATCACGTCCAGTCAAGTCATCAGCAGTCCTCATGAAGAAAACATCCCCACCTCCCGATGCTATCCTTTCTTGTTCCCTTTGCTTTGGAAATTGAAGAAAACATATCCCTTTTATAATCATCGTATTGCAATATTTAACATTAAAAGAATTAACCTCAAATCCTTGTTTACTCTATATGTGATGGAAAGATTATTATTTAAATAAAACCACCAAAGGCTGGGTTGAAAACGAAGTTTTGAATTGAAAAGACATGATAAAATTCAAGTGAAAATAGAGAAATAAAACTGAAAAAGGAAAAATGTAGTTACCTTCGATTTCTTTTTTATATGCTTCACCAATGGCATAACACTATGTGGACCTGGATGTGATAAAGGACCATGTGAAAAACGTCTTAGCGGAGGCCTGTGGAAATTCCTCAGACGCATCGGCCCCATATGAGTTTGCACAAAAGGTGCCCGAAGCTCAACTACAGGTGTACTGTGCTGTATTAAATTTCCTCCGCCAACTTTCAAACGCAACGTCGTTTCTGAAGAGCGTGGCATGTAATAACTGAAAAACAGAATTACTTTGTTTAATTCGATCTGGCCACTTTAGATTTGCAACAAATTATTCTTATGGTTTTCAATTTCATAAGTTGACGTATTCATTTCACTTCTTTAAATGAAATATATCAAGTTAACAAAAGGAAGAGCGTACGTACGTATCGTTTGAAATGTTAAATGGATCTCTATCAGGGGATTTTGGTGGTGGTGGAGGAGTATCTTCCTCCAGAACGTTAATTACTCCTGCCTTTCCAAGGAGTAATTTGCTCTTCTTTACATGAGGATGAGGAATTTTCACTTTAGGTTGCGGCCCATTATCTTTGTGAAGCAACGCCGGATCTATGTCATCCGGAATTCCCAGTACGATGTTTTCATCATTAGGATCCAGAGTCAGTATTTTCGGTTTTGGGATTTTTTTCATGCATTCCGCATCCCAAATTACTTCGTCTTCCCAAAGACCGTAAACCAATTCTTCATTTTCAACAGGAAATATGGAGTACCATGTGTCATCGTAATTTTCTTGTTGTTGTTGGTTTCCTTTTCCCATAGACCTGCAATGTATGTATTCAATAATTCTTCCTGAATTACATACAAAGATAAGACATGTTTTTTCCTCAATTCTTACAAAAAATGACGAAAATGAATCAACATCATTAAATGAAAAACAATTATTGCGAAATAGCCAATTTAATTGGATTAAAAAGATTCAAATTAAAATAAAAATGTAAAACATGTCCTTACATTTTGTTTTTCTGTGACTGCATATGCAGTGGTGTTGTGATTTGTGACGTGGCGAGTCTAACATTAGGTGCCACTGGTACTGGTGTTCCTTTTCCTGGTTGACTGAATGCTTGTGCAGTTCTATTTCCACTGGATGGAACCCAGCCTGCTGCATTATTTTTGCTATTCAATTTTTGCATCACCTAAAAATGGCAAACACTCTCTATTATAACATTCTAAAAAAAAAAATGAGCTGGTAAATTACTGTTCATCAAAAAAAGGAATACATAAATGTTATACCTTGTGTTTTATGTCGTCTCCATTCCAGACAACGTCATCTTCCCATCGTAATTGAGATACCATTAAGAAGGCGTCATCAGCAAATTCCTCGTCGATTTTAGATTTATCCTCCTCTTCGATCTGCAAACAATTTCATAAATTCGTAATGAAGAGTACGATCCAAGATGCGTCTCTTTGAAAATATTTAGTTAATGAATTACCTTTTCCATGGTTTTAAAACCATAATTAAAGCCATCCCCAGTTTCTGGAACTTCTAGCATATCATACCAAATTTGGGCAGGTCCGAATCGCCAATCTGCAACCTTTGGGCCCATATCTCCATTTTCTCCAGACTCTCCAGGTTTACCTGTTTGCTCTTTATCTTCCACAGGAAGCAACAGTTTTTCTTCATCGTCTGGACAGCATTGATCTGATGTTGGGTCTGGCCCATATTGCATCATCCAACCCTGTGTATGGAAGTAATTAATATCATTTTAGTAGACACGATTACAGCAAGAAATTTTAAGCATTTTTTAACTGTGCTATTTTCAGATATTAAAGTATTCCTTATTTATAGTTTTTGTTATTTAAAAATTAGGGTATTCTTTTCAATACATGATCCTTTAATCACACATGTTTTAAAGTGAATTTAGTGGTGTTTCTTGTTATTAGAAAGTGTGTAAATAAAGTCTGTTTTAATTTATTTCTTCTTCTTTCGGCGCAGGTTCATTCAAGTTGAAATTAAGATTTTATGTATGTAATATATATTACTGGAAAAACAATCATTAATAATGATAGAAATTGCTGATGCTTAATATTATCAATATAATTTTTAATTATTCTTTTGACGGTTTAAGGTGTTATGAAAGGGTCAGTCTATATATATCTGAGGTCAAATCATTCGTGAAAGTTTTCTCCGAAATGGGTGTACCGAATTCGTTTTGAATTTTACCACGTAAATATGGAGGCTCTAAGGTAGATCATGAAACTCGTGGATTTTCATTTTTAATAAATAAATTACTTGTTTATCATGGACCAACATGATGACGTCCGTGCACGTTTACGACGTTTTAAACTTTTTGAAGGCTTAGAATCGAAAATGAAGATTTACAGAACCTAGCTCGAACAATTTAAAAAACCATAGAAATGATATATTACAGAGTCAAATGGGAAAATACTTTCCCCAACGATTGCAAGAAAATGCTGGTTTGTCCTGTGGATAACACGTGAATTTAGAGCAAAAATTTAGTTGCAGCTAAACATTACAGCGCTGTTGGTACATTGTACGTATGCGTATAAAAAATCATGAGTCCACAGGATTTCAACCGTTTCACTTCGATCTCTTTATAATTATTTTACTGAAATGACACATGGCATGCTTTATTTCATATAATTTCCAACATAGACTTCAATGTAAATATAAATGCCGGTAACGTGACGTGCCAGCTTATGTTACCACTTGAGTGTCCAAAATGAAGTTACCACCAAAAAGTGTATAGATGAATTTTACTTTACCGAAATCGATATATGTATATATCATGAACCTTTTATAAGATGTGAAACACTTCATTATGAAAATTAAGGTGATTAATGAATGGTCTCTTCGCTTTGGTACTACACACTTAGCATGTATTAATTTCAATCCTGTTAACTATTTATCAAATGCATACAGTGCTTAAAACTTCATTAACCGTTTCACGATGGCGAAACTATCCATCGGTATGTCACCAATGGCCTATGTAATGCATTTAGAGAAGGCCAGTTATAACCAGCGCTAGTCAGAGCGAAGCATTTAAAGGATGCCAGATATATCCAGCCCTAGCCATGAAAGGGTTAATAATTTCAAAAGAAATACTGACATTGTATTCCTTTTTGTTAATATTTCATACCTTGAACTTATGCTTTCTTTCATCTTGGTCAGATCCTGAATCAGAATCTTTGGTGTCATGATGTCTTTTCTTTTTTCGGCGTTTCCTGACGCCTCTCCAGATTTGAGGTAAACTGCTTGGTTTTCCTGGCCCAAACAGCCTTGAAAATCTGAGTACCTTATTTGGACGGAAATCAGGAAATAATTCGGTAACATCAATATTTGCATATTTGGATGGCAGCATAGAAGCCAAAGGAGTTTCCAGTTTTCGCTGCCTTGCAGCTTCAATTTCTTCTGGAGTAAGAATTTCCTTTTCCTCTGGAATTGGTGGCGGAGGCATTAATTGAGTATCCGATTTGTTTACTACCTCTTCATCGTCGGCATCGTAATCTGTGGTTTCTTTCTCAACTTTCTTTGCATCTGTTTCAACTATATATACATGTAACAAACAAAAACAGTTAGTTAAATAAATCAGAATAAGAGTGGTAAAATCGAAGAACAATAGTAAAATATTTCGAAAGAATAGCTTATATTCCTTAGTAGCATAACGTATCCAAAAAATACTTTAAACCGTAACATTATCTACCACAGGGAACTGTAATATTGAAATTGCCTCCATAATTAAAAAATAGGTCATAAGGTTATCAGTTAATTTTTAGCATATAACCATTTTTTTTTCAAATCCTAATATATGTCAAATACATTATCTATATAAATACAAACGATTAAGTAACGTTAGAATGTAGTATGTACCATCCTCACAGATTTCATCTGCCAGTTCATTAATATCAGAAAAATCAAGAGCATTTGGAGATTTCTCCATATAGTCATCTTCATCGTCGTCAGAAGTTGTTTTCTGGCCTCCATCAATCAGATCTTGAGATTCTCTATCCTTTTCTGCAGCCTTTGTTTCATTCGATATCATTTCTTGAAGCAGTGAGTTAAGCCCTAGGCGACTTAACGAAGCTAAGTGCTGCTTTGCTTCAGGATCAAGGATATCATCCTCCAGTTCGCCATTCTCATCGATATTACCAAAGAGAAATCCAGTCATGTTGATACCAGTCTCCATATCCTTATCATCATCATCTGAGTCTCCCATTGTCATTTTATAAGACTTTTAAAGAGTAAAAAGTCTACCAGCAAGAAACCGTCGATGATTACTGTACAAAATATCATAATATTGTTATTTATAGGTTAGATTACTTACGTCAACAGACTGATTGTCTTACTTAGCCTACGAATTACGAACCACGTTATACTACAATGCTTCTTTCACTTTGGCAGTTACTACAACGTCCCTATTTACATACTTTGTTTAATAAATATACTGGACAGTAAATAAACGATAAATTCACTTAACATCACGTAGAAACAAATCGAGATCAAGCGATGTCTTAACCAGTGTTGCCACCGGGCGATTTAGAGACAGGTTAGGACACTGGCATTCAACGATGGTTTCCTCGCGGACCTACTACCCTCTCCAGCCTCGCGGCGTACTAGCGGCGGGAGCTGCGCGGAATTTGAATCGCTTAAGGGGCAGGATGAATTTCCTAAAGGTGTAGAACGAAAATATATAAGAGGCATGAAATCATCATTCCGCTTCTATGCCCGAAAGTGGATGCATCGTAAATTTTCCTATGGCATTTCACTGTATAAATATTAATGAACTATTTTTTTTTTTGAGCTAAGATAATATTCTAACTTCGTTTCAGTGGATGTAGCCAATCAGAACCTCCTATTTGCGCTTCGTCGGTCCGTCGCTTGTCGCTGTAGCGCTAATGAAATATAGGCCCGTAGCAGCCCGTAGCAGAGAGCAAAGAATTCAGAATCCCATAGAAGCCCAGATCCTATGTTAGCGCTTGATGCTCTAAAAGTTGGCTAACAAACCAGAAGTGGGGGAAAAAAAGAGATCGCACATTAGCCAACGATATCTCACGTACGGGAAGAAGAGAGACGCATATAGAAAGGCGAGTATTGCGTGTAAGATAAAGAAAGAATGCAATCGCTATATATTGCCATAAGATTAAGAGATATGGAGAGATGATTACAGCGCCGCCATCCGTTGGCTAACATACTATTTATCGAGCATCGAACGTCCGTATCCTTCTGGGCTTCTATGGAGACTTCTGAACAGAGATGAGTTGGGAGATTGCTCACGTGCAGGGTCGCCCGATCGCACCGTGTGCAGCCCTCTGATTTCGTACGTTAGCTTTCACCGTTTTTTGCCCCTAAGGGCGGCGCAACGAATTTCTGGTAGGGGCTCGCGCAATAGCGATGGCTGTGCCATCTACCAGTTGCCGTTGACGGCTCACGTATTCGTGATGGTAATACTATGCGGCAGTTGACGGTGGTGGCTTACCATTATGGCAATCTCCTAACTCATCTCTGCCAAATCAGAGATGAGTTGAGAGATTCACGGGAAGGATCGAGCGACCGCGTCCTGTTCGACCTCCGGTGGAGGATGCAGACGGCT